TCTGGGATCAGCAGTAAAATACTTAAACAAAGAAATCACACCTTCGTTTAGAGTGTATTAGAGAAACGTGCTTCCATCTCTAACATTTAACACCCTGCATCTATCTGCTCATTCTCTCCCACTCTCCTTCAAGTCCTGCTTCCTCCTCTGGGGTCAGGGACAGACGCTCCAGGTCAGAGGGCGCCATTGGGGAAGACTGGTCAGACCACGCCGTGACTGTGGCCTCACCTCTGCCACTCTCCCCATTGGACTGCTCCACCCTAGCTCTGCCTCTGACCCCTGACCCCGAGGCCACCAGCCCGGGAGCTACAGGTTCCTCTGTCTGTCTGTCTCGGCCTAACTTCCTTTCTTGGATGAGTCAGGCCTTCATTTCTTTGGTGGATTTTCATAAAGGTGCTGTTTTGAGAAAGGGAAGAAATATTACTTTCCTTTTCAGATTAACATAGAACTGTTCAGGTGTATTTGATTCCCAGTATTGGGAATAAATGTTCCTCCACATAAGACTTTTCTAATCTCAGTATTGCCAGCTGTGACCATAGGAGTTGGTGGGTTTGTGAATATCTCTATCACAATTAAGCTTATTTCTCTGAGAGTCATTGGAATGTTTGTGTGTGTGTGTGTAAATTCTTTATTGTTTAAAGTATTACATGAGTCTCCTTCCCCCCCCCCCCCCGCCCCATTGACCTCTCCCCCTTCTCCCTACTGTCTGTGTCCATTGGTTTTGCTCATATGCATGCATACAAGTCCTTTCGTTGATCTTTTACCCCCTCACTCCGCGCCTTCCCTCATAAGTTGTACAGTCTGTTCGATGCTTCTATGTGGATTATATTTTTAAAGTCAGAGGAAAAAAATATATTCTACCACCTGTTTCTTGGTTTTGCTAAGTAGATAAAGAACACTGTAAAGATAACGCAGAGTCCTGAGGGTGAAAACCTCCCTTCGCCTTATTGTAGGGATTGGGGGTGGGGGTGTGGGGGAGAATAGCAGCATTTATACATCTTGTTTTGAAGTTTTTATTTTGTAGAATATTCTTCAGTACCTAAATAAGAACCCCATTTGTTAAACTATGTGCAACTTAGTGTCCTTGGTTCTAAAAAGTAGTATTTGTTTCCTGTCCTTCCTACAAATGCCCTGCAAGGATATAACTTTGTTGAATTGCTTTCTGGTCTCTTCAGTAGAGGCCAATCCTATCTAATAAAGAGGGAATGCGCTAATGGCCATCACGCCTCACAAAGATGGCTGCACCCACAGCTGAGGCCAAGTTCCCATAAGGAGCCTTAATGAGCAATCAGCAGGGACCTGAGGCTACCCCTCCCCCACCCCCATGGGGCTTGACAGGGGATCTCAGGTGGCACTCCCCACCCGGCAGGGCTTGATGGGGGACCTCTAGGTGCACTTTCCCTCCTGGTGCTGGGTCCCCAGGCTACTCTCCCCACCCCAGCGCCAGGCTGGGGGACTTCAGGCTATGCCCCCCACTCCAGCACTGAGCCAGGGGATCTGAGGCTACACCCCCTGCCTGGCTGGGCTTGACAGGGGACCTCAGGCCATGCCCCCAACCCAGCTGGGCTTGATGGGGGGGCATCAAGGTGCACCGCCCAGTGCTGGGTTGTGGGAATCAGGCTACTCCCCTGCCCAGCAGGGCTTGTCAGGGGACTTCAAGGAGCGTTTCCCATCCTGGTGCTGGGCAGGGGGACCTCAGGCTGCTCTCCCCACCCCAGCACCAGGCCAGGAGACCTGAGGCTACACCCCCCTGCCTGGCTGGTCTTGACAGGGGACCTCAGGCCATGCCCCCCACCCTGCAAGACTTGATGGGGGACCTCAGGGTGCACCCCCAGTGCTGGGTCAGGGGAACTCAGGCCGCGTCCCCACCCAGCAGAGCTTGACGGGGGACCTGAGGCTGTGCCTGTCCCCCCTCTGCCTGGCGTGGCTTGGTGGTGAACCTCAGGCCATGCCCTCCACACAGCAGGGCTTGACAGGGGATATCAGGCTGTGTCCCCACCTGGCAGGCTTGATGGAGGACCTCAAAGCATGCCCCCTGCCCTGGGCTGGGGTACCTCAGGCTACGCCCCCCATCCTGGCTCCAGGCCAGGGAACCTGAGGCTATATCCCCTGCCCGGCAGGACTTGACAAGGGTGGGACTGTCCTGGTCTGGATATAGCCCAATGGGGAGGGTTCGGCTGGATGTGGGTCTCACGCAATTTTGAGGTGCATGTGGGTGGGTGGGGACTTGACTCTGGGTCCTGTGGTGAGCCCCAGATTCTGATAGGAGGAAAGTTTTCATATACATTTCACTAATTTTCTTTCATCTCTGACACTTCTATTATAGAGAAAGGGCAAATAGCAATATTAAATTATTTCCTCTAATTAATCCTCTTTTAATGTGCATGAATTTCGTGCACTGGGTCACTAGTGTCACATAAACACACAATGAGGCCTGGGTATCAATTTGTGCAGCAAGTTTTTTCCCTTCCAGTAAACAGAGAGAACATTCTAATGAAAAAGCTTGCATTCTTAGTCTTGCTGTTGTTATGCCATTATTTTATGCTACATAGACTCTTGAATGTTCTTTGTCTTAATTTCTACATTTATTTGTTCAACCAATATTTATTGTTTAAAAGTCCAAACAAACTTGTATTCTTATTCTTGTTATTATTTGGATATTTTATGCTACATAGATTTTTGAATGTTCTTTGCCTTAATTTCTACATTCATTTTTTTCAACCAGTATTTATTACTTAAAGGTCCATGCCACCATTTCTTTCAGTGTTTGAGCCTAGACATATTGCTTTATCTTTCTGTCTTCCAGCAAATAAAACCAAAAGTTAGACAGCCAGGGTTCTAAAATAACAAAAACAAAGATGGCCATTTTATTGTCTGCAGTTGGATCCTGCTTGTAGAAAGGGAACTGACAGATCTTATGCACAGAGAGGAAAAGGAGCATAAACTCAATTTCAGGATATGAGGCTGCCCTGTCTTTGAGTGTTTTCAGAAAAGAGACATGTACTTAGGTAGTATCATCTTTTAGATGAGTACTTGAAGAATACTCATTCATTAACTATGCTTGGTTTACGATTTCAGTAAAAGGAGTTTTGTTCTGTTTCTAAAACAGAATTATACAGTTTTCTCACTGTTCTATTAATTTGTTTTGTGATAGGTGTGGCTTTAAATTCTTTCTTTTAAATGCAGTCATTAACAGATCTTCCTCTATATCATACTCATGATTATTGTTGTTAAAAAAATAACTAATTTTATTATATATGTCAACAGAAAATTATTTTTTCTTCTCCTATCCGTTTCTTTGTAGCTTTAAAATGAACAATCTGTTCTGAAAATACTGAAGTGCATTTCAGCGCTTTTTCTGCCATACTTTGCCAGCATCTTTATAAGCACCATAAAAATCACTATAATTAGAATAAGTCTTTTCAGTGACTCAAAATGCAAGCGGAAAAAAATAAGTTATGCCAAGCTCAGAAGAGGTTTCGCTAAGTGTTTCAAAGGAGAATTCATTAAAAAAAATTTTGGTGTGAAGAAAAAGCTCTTTTCCTTTTTCTCTTTAAATTGAGCATAACTATCGGCAGTTATGAATAAGGACTTTTTACTTGCTTTTTAACTTTTTTTTTTCCAACTTCTTTGTTGGAACTCACATCTTCTAAACAAGTGGTCAGGTTACTTTTGCAGGTTCCACATGGCAATGCCTTAAAATCAGACCCAGCCCTGAGCCTGTGTTGCTTATGGCCTCCCAAGGATGGGACGTGTGTAAATGCTTGCTTTACATATAAGTGCTGTGGGTTTCCTCTCCAGATTAGTGAAGCTCACCTTTTTAGTGAAGTTTCTACTCTGGGAAAAAGCCTTTCTTCACATTCATGGTCTTTCAACGTCTTCACAGGACATTTTTAAACAATTCTTTTTTTTTCTTCTCACAGTTCTTCTATGGCCTAAGAAGACTCTCTCATTAGAATGGGAATCCGAAGACTTTTTTCCTTGCCTGTATTTTGTACTTGTAGCTATGGCCTTGGGCCACTTTTCATCTGTAAAATGAGGGGTTGGGCTAAGCAGTCCCCAAGGTCCCTTTCCACCTGAAGTTTCTCTGATCCATGGCTCACTGGCTCTTATGGTCACATTGTGTTCATCTGCTGCATTGCTCTCTTTAATTACAGCTCAGTCCATTTGTTTTATATTTTAAGGCAAATGGCTTTGGTCAGAAGCTCATCATTCTCAGTCATCCTATCCTTCTAAAAGTTTTGCTTTTTCAACCACAAAGACATTTGGAAAGCATGCCCCATGGCTTATATCTCTACCCTAGTTCTTTTTTTCAAAGGAAATGCAGAAGACTGATTGTAATCTCTTTAGGTTATCTGTATGGCTGATTGTTATCTTGCTGTGTTCTAGCAGTCTCAGAGTCTCAAAGTGTGTTAAGAATAGTCTGATGCTATTTTGTTTTGCTGAAGTAAGTTGAGCAGAATCCCGGGAAAACATGCATGAGGTCAGGTCCTGAGAAAGAGCCAGGTGGCAGCAGAGGGTATTTGCTTTTCTTATTTGGGTTTTAGGTTGCCGATGACTCTAGTCTAGTAGCTTCATTAGTCTGCCTAAGCCCTAGTCTTTTCTGTCAGCAGTCTACTGTTTGCATTCATTCCTTAGGCGGTTTGGAAGCGCACCATGTGGCTTTTTATGTGAAGTAATTAATAAAGTGCTAATCTAAGCAAAAGCTAAAAATGAACTTGATCCTTAATGGCTGATGCGTGTGATATTCTTCCAGAATATTTCGTTCTACACGTTTACAGTAAAGCATTCCAAGTGCACAGTATCTTCAGAGAGAGGGTGGGTGTGGGATTCTGGAGGCTGTGTACTGTATCTGGGTATTAACCGCTGGTGATCCTTGAGTTCATAGCCACTTAGCTTATTTTCAGGCTAGGTGTATGCCATGTCACACAGGTAGCAACACCAGGAAGCACTGTCCACATTGGAGCAGTGAAGAATTGTTATTTTTTTTTCCTATTCAGGTAAGAAGAGTTCCTGGGTCAAGTGGTCACCTTCATAAAACCGAAGACGGTGACTGGGAGTGGAGTGACGACGAGATGGATGAAAAAAGTGAGGAGGGGAAAGCAGCTTTTTCCCAAGAAAAGGTACATAGCACTGATGATGATTAGCTCGCCTGTGCCAATTTCATTTTTGTGGTATTGTGTGTGTGTGTGTGTATTAATAAATATGTCATTGTTTTTACAGTCACGAAGAGTAAAAGAAGAAAATCCTGAGGTGAGTGGTGGTTCTCTATTGACTTTTAATTTTTATTTGCTATTTCATTCTCTGCCCTCTCTGCCCCACCCCAAAGTATCAGTGTTTGTTCCACTTAAGGAAGAGATTTCTAAATACTATTCTCAGGCAGTAGTAGAAAAAAAGGAAATGGACATGGCCTTTGCATGCCCCCATTCTGTTTGAGTTCCCTTTGAGCTATATAAATTGGGGCAGGTCACTTGACTCTCTCAGCCTGTTTCCTCCTCTTGTCAAACGGGGATGATCACAATGCTTGCAAAGTTGTCCTGAGGATTATTGATGAAGTCACCTGCAAAAAAGCACTCTGGAGTCCTTAGCACTGATTAGTAACACAATCCTAACTCTCGGTATTACTGTCAATTAGAAAACATAGTAGGCATACAGGAAAAATTTCTTTTTGATTTATAGTTTAAAGTAAGATATTAAGATGGCTAGCAACTCTAGGTTGAATCTTTTGGTCTTGAATTTTAAATCTCCTGGATAACTAAGTAGACAAGGAACACTCTTTCATCAGCTTCCCTCTGAGGCTTGGTCATCTTTTGATTAACTCACTTCCTCTAGCTAGTTAATTACCCTAATACCTAATGACTAATGACGATTGTAGTTCAAAGGATGTGTGCTATTTCTCCTAGAGGAAATTTGAGCATATTTAAATGGCCCAGATATTTTACAGTCCTAGTAATTAATGTGTACCTTGGTAAATTCTCATTAAGGTAACAGAAGACTCCGGGTTATAAGTGAGTCCATCCCAACTTTTTAAAATTAGCAGACATTTTCTTTTGATTATATGGAATAAATCCTATTCCACTTTCAGGGGCAATAGGCGGCTGGACATTCTAAGGAAACAGCATCAGAGCTACAAGCCACACCTTACTCTGTTACTATCCCCTCCTTCTGTTTTCTTCTCATCCTCATGTCACACCAATAGGCCTTGTCAAAGGACTTTTCAGTCTGCTGGCTTCCTCTGGGTTACTCGCTTTCAGGTCTTATTTCCTCCTAGCTTATGACTGTATCTTTCCATTTTATACATGAAATATAAGGTTTAATCAAGGAAGTTATCCCATGAGTTAGTGAGGGTGGTGATGAACTCTACGATAGGACACATTGACTACACAGATGTGCTGGGTGTTTAGGAATGATCCTAACCAGGTATCATGAATCCTGCCCTCTTCTTGAACACTTTCCTGTTTTATCTAGAATAAAATAGTCAAGGTTTTTCATCTATTTTTAAGATTATCTCTAACTAAAAAGGCCAGTTTCACTAACAAATAGGACAAACAACATAATTCGAATAGCACCATAGACCCCAAAAGCATTCATTATTGGTTCACTACAGGATATCCTCATTGGATTGTAGTCACTGCATCCATCCTTACTAGGCCAGACTTGTTCTTTCTTACTAGGTCTGACTGATGTATTATTTGGATTATGGTATCTTTTGGGCAGGGATATTTTCTGCAAAATGAAGACTTTGGGCTCAGCCTGAATGATTCTTGACAAGAAGTCATTTGGCACAGGCGCAATCCCTCTGGCTGGTTAAGGGACACAGATTATTTGCTCTTCTAATGTAGTCATTCCCTCCTTCCCCCAAAAATTTAGTATGAAAAGGGTCAAAAATATAGGAACATGGAAAGTGTGTTACAGTGAACATGCACATACCCATCACCTGGGTCCTACCACTACTATATTAGCTTAATCACATGCCCATATATCGATTCATCCATCAGTCTCGTCTTTATTTTGCGATGCATTTCAAAGCAAATTTGCAGACATCCACCCCCTTTCTCCTGTTACTTTATTACTCACATACTTCTTTTTGAAAAAGCACAGAGAGCAAGAATTTTATGCCCTTAACCTTTAGAAAACTCTTGGTACAAAGAGTTTCTGCTGAGGTCTGATTATTGTAGAATTGATAGTAAGTTTAGAAATGGAAACTCCCCTTTCGTCCTTTTTCATTACTGTTCCTCTTGGAGTTTATTTTGGTCTTTCAGTTTTTGTTCAGGGCAAAGTTCACCAAAGTAGGGCTTAATGCTAAAATATTTTGGGTATCACATTAGAGCCAGGTTTCCAACGTTGAGAGAAAAATAGAACCTATCACTGTGGCATTCTGTTTTTGAAATGTTTAAAAAACCTAACTATCTTTTATGTTTTTTTGAAACCGAGTGAATAAGTTGATCAAAGTAATCATGAATGGGGGAGGTTTTACTAGTCTTAACATCATTTTATTAGGAGGCCCTTAACTTTGAATGAAATTATAGGATAAGAAAAAAATGGTTCTGGGCATTTTTCTGTTACCGAGTTTAAAATAGTCCATGCCTCTCACTTCAGCACATCGGTTCTTTAAAAGCATTTGGGTGGCCAAAGCCGGTTTGGCTCAGTGGAGAGAGCGTCAGCCTGTGGACTAAAAGATCCCGGGTTCGATTCCGGTCAACGGCATGTACCTTGGTTAAGGGCATATTCCCAGTGCGGGGTGTGCAAGAGGCAGCTGATCGATGATTCTCTCTCATCGATGTTTCTAACTCTCTGTCCCTCTCTCTTCCTCTTTGTAAAAAATCAATAATATATATATATAAAAGCATTTGGGTGAGTCCGGGCACTTCTTAAAGATACGGTTTTTGCCTGTCTCCATGAAATTCTGAATTAGTCTGGGTGCAGCTCAGAAATCTTTGATATGTGTCTCAGGAAATTCCAATGCAGAGAAAAAAAGGACCACACGTTGGGAAATACTGCTTTAAAATGACCTAGGTTATTTAAAATGTTTGTCTCTGATAATCGAGACTTTGTGCAGCCACATTGGCCCTACTGTCTCATTTTGGTTTCTTTAATGGCTGTAATGGTGGCTCTCTTAACAGATGGCGGTGAATGCCAGCGGCATACCCGAGCAGATACAGTCCCTCTCTATGCAGGACTCCCAGGTATGTTTCTCCGCCAGTCATTTCTGTCTAAGATGCTCTGTGAATAGATTTTTTTTTTTTAAAGAAGAACTAGCACTTGAGAAGGATGGATAATTTCAGGGTAGTGCTTCCAAAACAGGGACCTGTAAACTCTTCTTGTTTAATAAGTATGGAGGAAAGATACTGTCACTATTGACCATGATTTTCAGGGCCTCCAACCTTTAAATGATGGGTTCAAGAGCAAGCATTGAATGCCAGACTGCCTCTGAAGTTGCTGGTATTGTGTGAAATAAGAAAAAGAAAGAAAATGACTCACCATTCTGTTAGGCTTCATCCACAAAACACTGAAGTTAATTGATAATTTTCTTCTTTGTTCCTGGTTGGATTTCCATGACCTGTTTTCATAATTCTTTTATCGTTGAATTTTATGGGCCAATTTATCTCTACAACTTACCTTATAAAAACAATACTTCAGTGCCCATGAGATGCATTTGTATTAAGTGTTATGTGACACAGGATGTGTGCCACGAGCTGGCTTGGGTGCTAGGGAAGGGTATCCCCCGCAAGTCTGCATATTCCATTTGGATTCGTTTCTAGCCTACCTGATCTGTTTTTGATGAATTGGTTGTATTCTGAGGAGGCAGTGAGATTTTATGGTTGCAGAAAGCAACCATTTCATGTTTGAGGTCAGATATCTAGTCCTTGCCCTTATTTTATAGCTGACGAAGCAAAGATCTGCAGTGGTTAAGTGGCTCATGAAGGTTATACCACTGCCTAGCACAGAGGATGCAGGGTTCAGTGTAGGTCTTCATACTATCAGGCAACTCCGAAAAACACCTGGAGATAAAATGGAGGGATGTGTTGAACGATGAAAGGCAAGTCAAACATAATAATGAGTCAGAAGGCAGAGAGAGTAATCAGGAAAAGGCATTAGGATAACTTGGGATGTATAACGTGATGTGGGTTAGACCTTATTTTCATATGTACTAGTTCTCCCAGGAACCCTTTGAGGCAGGTATCTATCCCCATTTTGTATATGGAGAAATAGGTTCAGAGAATGACTTGCCCACAGTTACATAGTTGGTCAGTGGCAGTGCCAAGGCTTGACTTGAAATCCCTTATTTTTCTACTCTTAACAGGAAGGGGTTGACAGGAGGATGGGTAGTGGAGGCATCATGACTGGTGATCTGTATTTAAGGAAAGAGGCTTGAGGTGAGGAAGGCACAAAAGATAAACAGTGGCCTAATCCGCTGGTTCCACCTTCTGCATCCTGAGGCTTCAGGTGTCCAGACAGATCTCTGTGCATCCCCACGGCCCACTGGGGAACAGCCCATGGCTCTGGCTGCCAGGTGCCCCATTAAATGGCTGAGCTGCTGCCTTTGGACTTATTGTAATTTATAGCAACTGTTTGTAGGGCTCATGCTACAATAAAATATCAGTGGTCATAATCGACCTCCACACAGAGGTGATCTGTGGCTAAATAAGATCAGCACCTGTAAAGATGTAGTTTTGAAATTTCCAGAAGGAAAAGGATGTACTAATCAAGGGATGTCATGATTTCACTGGTCTGTTTCCTGAGTTTATGACACTGTTTGCTGTTTTGCTTTTAAAGGGCCTGCCCAACGCTAATGAGGACTACAGAGAAGGTTCTTGCGCTGTGAACCTCGTTTTAAGATTAAGGTAAGTAATATTGTTGTTCACTTTGCAGTGCTTTTTGGGTAGTACAATATTCCGATCTCCTTCATTAACTTTTCATAGCATTAGCATAAAGTAAGAGTGCTAACTTCCTTGATTTCCCGGAGCAGCCAGTGTTCCCAGGACTAATTGCTCTCTTCTGGTTGCTTACTAAGAAACAGCAAGAAAGCAGAGCGCCATCTGAGTGTGTCTGCAGGCGCAATGCACCCTTCATTAACTTTTCTTTTCCTTGCCTTTTCATTCTCGGGTTTTTCTTTTTCTTTTTTACAATGCGAGATCACAGTAAGAGACTTTTAATGAGTTTCTTTCACACTTCAGCAGCCGGTCTCTGTCAGAAATAAACCATGCTTGTACTACAAGTGGCCTGTTCAGAACATTCTTCAGTGGCAGGTTTGATCAGCCACTGTGGAGAAATGACAGATCTGTTTTGAAATGGATACAAATATGGTGCCGGGCAGTGGAGTTCTTGTATCTAGTGTGAATGAATGAAAGCGCCTTCTGTGTCAAAGATTTTCAAATCTTAAGGTCCATGCTCTTTGTTAAGAATTTGGTGTCTCGGGACAAAAGTAATGTGCTTAAACTTAACTGTAAAGAACTGAATTTACCAGGTAAATCAGAATACAGGCACATCTTAGAAGGTATGTTAACATAAGTTGTACTCACTCTCCTTTGACAAACACATAAAGCGCATGGCTAATGGGCCGTTTTCAGAGCTGTGGCTGTAAAAAAGCAGGTTCATTGTCAAGGTTTGTTTCCAGACCTCCCTGCATTATCATCGTGGTCTGTCAGGGCAGATTATCGTTGCCATACTCACCCCTTCCTTCTGACGGCCGTTCACAACCTGCAGCACATTTTCTCGTCCTTCCTGGGGACTCTCACAACCCTCGGTGCAATTTAACTCAGCGTTGATTTCCCAAGAAATCAAGAAGTGAAATTACCACAAGACTGTTTTCCTTATATTTGAAAGTAGCCTTCCTTATGAGTTACAATTAGTGTATTTTGCGAGCCCTGAATAATGAAATAGCTCTTTCCCTTCTTATTTGACTTTGGAAGCAGGTACTCCCGTCATTTATTTGTCGCTTGTTCATTTATTCTTTCAGTCCACCCGAATTCATGAGAAACCCATGCTGAGCCGGGCTCAGTGTTTGTCGTTGAGATGCAGAGGTGAGGCGCCGGTGAAGGTCACGGTCTAGTCGGCTGAGTGTGCGGTGTTGGAAGTGACCTTTAGAATCCAGTCATCCAGTCTCCCACTTGGTTCATGCAGGAATCTTTCCTTTAGTGTCCCTTTTCTTTATTTACCCAGCCTCTGCACGTCCTTCAGCTCGCTGTTTTCCCAGGCTCTTCCCATGAACATGAAAAGCTTTCATTGTGACAGTTCATCTTCCTCCTGAAGGTTCAGCTGACCCTCCTGTTTGGGATTTGTATGGGCTCAAATTTTGGCCCTCAGAGCAACTCTCAGACTTTCTGGATAAATCTCCCGAGGAGTGTGTTAAAATGAATGTTTTTACCCTTACCTTCAAATATTTTTTTTGCGCTAGGTACCAGAACAATATAGGACTAATGCATTTCCTCATTTTTCTGAAAGCCATTTGTCTATTTGCAAGGCTTGTTCTTCTCTTTTCTCAGGCAAAACAGTGCATGGAACTTGAATCATACTTCTCATAATATAGTTAGTTCTCTGTCCCCCTCATAATCCTCGATGTTCAACTTTACTGACATTTAATCCACACCTGCTTTTGTTACCTTTTCCCTCTTGGATTTTGAGGGTGGTTTTCCTGAGTTTGTGGCTTATTTCACTACTCCTACAGGATGCTTTATGATGTAATGAAACAGTGTGTATGGATCTATTATATATACACACAGTCACACCTTATTTTGAAATCACAAGGAACATTAGTATTAAAGGTTCTAAGAAAAGTCTTAAAGGAAAGGAATTTATTGACTCTAAAGCCCATTTGACCTCAGAATTCTTTTCATGCAGTTGTTTTCCAGTTTAGCATTATCCCTTTTAAATGTGGCATCTGTGTTTACATACAGGCCTCATGATGTGGTCTGAGCAGGCTGAATACAGTAGTAAGATCATGTGATTTTTTTTTTTTTTTTAATATATTTTATTGATTTTGTACAGAGAGGAAGGGAAAGAGATAGAGAGCTAGAAACATCAGTGAGAGAGAGTCATCGATCAGCTGCTTCTTGCACATCCCCTACTGGGGATATGCCCGCAACCAAGGTACATACCCTTAACCAGAATCGAACCCGGGTCCCTTCAGTCCCTAAGCCGAAGTTCTATCCATTGAGCCAGACTGGTTTCGGCAAGTTTTCATTGCCTTTTGAAATATCCATGTACCTTGGCAAATTATAGTATGACCTAAAACTCTGACTAAACCCGATTTTGATTTTTTTCATTTGAAGGTCTATCAAGACTAATTCTGAAATGCAACATGTGTTTTAACATTCTCTGTCTCAACGTTATCACTATAATAATGAATCTGTTGGTTTTGATTCACTGCTTGCTCATCATACATTTCACTCTTGATTGTCAATGTGTTATATTAGTTACAGTGTTTGGTTTATCATATTGGCAAGTGATGATATCCAATCTTTGACATCTTTATCCAAAACATTGATTAACATGTTCAGTAGTTCAAATAGGATAGAGCCTCTGGCATCTGGTAGAAACTGCTCACTGTCTTAAATGGCTTTCAATAATTGCCTAGTATTTTATGATATAGTTGCTCAACCAGAACCAAATCCTATTGATTCCTCTGCCTTTTAGTGAATGTTAACTATTCAGAAGGATGTCATAAAAGGATCCATTGGAAGTGGTGCTGAAATTAGACATACTATAACGATGGTATTTTCCTGAATCTAACCACCTAGAAACATCTTCACAATATGGGAATGATTTTTATTTTATTACAAACATTTGTTTGTATACATTTGTATACACTTGTTTGTATACATCTCCCTCCTATAGTTTTATAAGGTCTTTCTTTAAATTAATGTGTTGTGTTTTGTGTTTTTTTAAAAAATATTTTAGAACTTGTGACTCTCTCAGAATATACTGTTAGATCCCTTAAAGGGCAATCCTTGTACTTTAACTTGAGAAATAGCCTTTGAATGTGAAAGGTTAAATGCTATTAAATTTTTGTAAACACTCTGTGCTGTTAGTGTAAACAGCAAGTACAGCAAGTACATTTATTCTTTCTAAAATGTTTATTGAGCACTTTCTATGTGCACGGTACTATTCTAGCTGCTACGATACAACAGGGTGGGGGGATAACAACATTTCTTGCCCCCTAAAAGCTTACATTTTGAAGGTGGGGAGAAGAACAATTCAAATATTTATATACTATGTTATGATATGTAAAGTTCTCTGAGGATAGAAAGCATAGGGAGTGCTATTCTATGTTGAGGAAGGCACAGGAGTTTTCTACTGCTGTGTAACCAGTTACCACAAACTTAGTGGCTTAAAACACCTATTTACTATCTCTCAGTTTCTTTAGGCCAGAAGTCTAGTTTCTCTGCTGTGTCTCACACGGCTGTAATTCAGGCTTGCTTAGAGCTCAAGGTCTTCCGAGCTCCTCTGGGTATTGTCAGAATTCAGTCCCTTGCAGTTCTGGTCTGATGTCCTCACTCCTTCAGACACTTCATTCCACAGGTAGATCACAACTGACCTAGCTTTTTATTTATTTATTTATTTTCCCCTGCCCCCCGGGCAGTAAGAGACCCGCTCCCTTCTCCTCCATGGTCTCAGTCCCCCTGTTAAAGGTTTCAGCCCATTCTATCTAGGATAATCTCCCTTTTGAGGAAGTCAAAATTAGCCAATTTGGAACTTTTAATTACATCTGCAAGATCCCTTCACCTTTTCCACATAACACAACTTACTGATGGAATGGCAGCCCATCACATCTAAAGATCCCACTCACTCTCAGGGGAGAGGATTATGCAGGACATGTACACCTGGGTGCAGGGCATATTGGAGGCCTTCCTAAAATCCTGCCTTCCGCAGAAGGGTGCTCTGAACTCTGTGGCATTTGAGCAGACCACTGATGGAACTGAGGATTCAAGCAGTAAGTTGTTTGGAGGAAAAGAGTTTTATGCAGAGCAAACAGTGATTGCAAAGGTTCTGAGAGGGGAGCATGTCACTTCAGTTATAAAACAGCCGGGGCCCCAGCGGGACGGAGTGCTCGGAGTGAGGTCAGAGAGCTGGCAGGGGCTGAATTACGTAGCACCGTGAAGCCTGTGGTGAACACTTTGGATTTCTCTGTCAGTGGGTGGGGACCGTTGGAGGTTTGTGAGCAGGAGAGTGATACGTGAGTTAAATTTCAAAATGAGCACTGTGGTTGCTTTATGGAGAGACTCGTTAGGTGGGAGCAGGGGGCGATGATGTGACCTGGACCAGGGAGGAGAGTAATGAAGGTGATACCAATTATTGAACTCAGAGATTACTTAAGGTTTGGGCTTGAGAATATGGGTGTACAGAGTTGCTGTTCCCTGAGTTGAGGTAGCAGGTTGGGGTAGAATCAAGAGTTTAAGTTCAGATATGGTAAATTTGGGCTGTCTAGTGGATATCTGTGTGATAATATAGGGCAGCGGTCGCCAGTTGGTGGTCCATGGACCAATGGTGGTCCGTGATGTCCGAAAGGTTGGAGACCACTGATATGGGGTGCATGAGTTTAGATTTCAACGGGAATATATTGCTGGACTGTAAATACATTTGAGAATTGTTGTTACTTACGGTATTTCAAGCTATGAAAATTATATGTGCTCACCTTTGGAGTAATGAGGGTAAAGAAAATAGTGGTGTGGTGTACGCTTAGGCGGTGTGTGGATGAGGAGCCATTGCCTGATTGGCAAGGAGAGGCTGATGAGGCAGAGGAGAGCACAGAGGAGCATCTCAAGAAAAGAGGAGTGAAAAGCTGCCTCTATTAATAGACCAAGTACGATGGGAACTGAGAATTCACCATTGTATCTGGCAAAAT